AAAGTTCTTTCATGTGAATTCGTTAAACCAACCTGGTATTAATTATCATCTTCGAATAGACTTTAATTCGCACAGTTGCATGGATCAGTTAGCATCTAATGTTGTGTTCAGAGCATATTCCATTGTGATGACTGATTTCAATACCTTTCGAACCGTTGAATCTATTTTAAATTAAGAATTTGTATTTTGTTTTTTATCGTCGTTCATGAAATCAGTACACTTCTTCGCTTCGAATGGTAAGATTAATATAAAAATAGGAATATCGGTAAGAAGAATTGATAGAAGAACAGGTAGAATAAAAGCAACAAGGCGAAAATGGAAACGAAATGGAATGAATTGACTTTAAGAATAGGAACGAAAAATGTTGCATAATTCGTCCAGATTTGACCAAAAAAGGAAAGTAACAATAAAAACAAAAGTAAAGGTAAAAATGGTATGCGGATAGGAGGAACAACAAAAATAGTCACCTATTTCTCTGACGGTATCATGATCATAATTGTTACGGGTTGTCTGTTCTATTGCAGCGCAATGTCTGCTGGAGTTGCTGGTTCATCCGCCGTCGCCGCTGTTGCCACCGTTCTGTCCGCTGAGGAGGGCTGCTGCCGATCTGATCGGTCGAGGCTTCGCCGTCTGGCAGCCCTACCTCGACGTCAGCAAGGTGATTCTGACGCTGCTCAGCTGGTGCGCTGAAAACGAGCAGCTCGGCATGTCGCACGACTCGAAGCTACCGCTCAACTGGCGACTCGATGCGTTCAAAATCGCCCAGGCTTCGCTATGGTCCATCGCTAACGTCTGTCCGGCGGCGTTCATCACGGCATTGAGCACCGAAGTACGCGGCATTTCTATTTTCTTTTATTCTAATTGTTTTTCCTGTTTTTGAGCTAACTAATGTTTTTTGCCGAGTTTAAAAAACAGTCGTAGAAAAGTGAGTTACGTGCCAAGTCTTTTTCCAGTCTTTCGAATCACTTAGCAGCTCTGACATAGCCACGCATGGACTGCAGGCAACCACATCTGCAGATTGGGCTGCCTCGGTTCCCGATCAGCAGAAGTTAAGCACAAATCGGACCGATTGAGGTGCACTGCGATTCTGTTACTTTATTTTGCTTTAATTGATTAATTGATTCACCACTTCTGATGAAAGTCACTCTTATGGTTGCCTCTAGGCGTTCCAAACAGGTAGCTGCGTCCATAACTGCCGCTGATAGAAGAAAGGTGAATTTTATGAACTGCGGCAGTGGCGACTAAGGATGGTACAGCATTGTGAAATCCAGCTTTCTTTAAGTAACGTGACATCCCGCAGATACTTTCATGTCTTTCCAGCAGCTTTTACGTGGAATTGCACCTCGAACAGAAAATAATCATAATTCCGGAAGATATATGGTCCACAGGAAGGATCCATATGCTAATAAAATAAGTGATCACTTAGACTCAATAGTGTAAATGACATTGTCCTTGTACGAATGGTACTGGACCTACAACGTTTTCTGTCACTTTTACTCAAACACTGTTACAGGAAGTGTCGCCAAAGGCATTTTACTGACGTTATCACGTTAATAGTACGGAGGTACGTTCTACGCGACGTTCCCAGACTAATGGACATATGATTTGAGATACGATTAGATCCTTCACTTAATTAACCTGCATTAATCTTTCGTTTTTTTTGTATCATTCGTTGGCTTGCTGACGTACTAGGCCTGTTAGGTTGTGCGGTTCACCTCCTTGTCGCAGCACCAAATGGTCAATCATATGTCCCCATTGATTCGGTCAAAACAGCAAATACTTAGCATTATCGAGGCATTGTTCAACAGTCAATTCGACGTAATGCAGGAAGTGATCTCGTCGGTATGTACTATGGTTTGCGTCACTTTCTATTTATTCGTTATTGCCTTTCTTCAAGGTCGGCGAAATCGTCGTTCACTGTTTGGATACCGCTCTTCTGAAGTATAAAAACGTCACCGAACTGCACCCTGCGATTGCGAGGTAAGAGACTGCACAACTTTAGCATTTATGCTGCAAAACTGGATTGTTTGGTGATTCTCTTCATTCATCAAAATGCTTTTTTTCAACTTACCGACGATGCTGTTCAACCGTTATCATTTCTTTTAGAATCATCACGATCATCATTATCTTATTCGACGTCATCATTGTCATCGTCCTAATAAAAGTAGTCATAATGGTCATCATTACCAGTGTCATAATCAAGTTTGTCATTTTGTAACAAATCTGATAAAACTACTACACCTACAAGCTGTCAGATATAAATGCGTGATATTTAAAAGTTCGGCAAAATGCAAACGAATAGCGGTTATTAATCTCCTGTTCTCGATTCCGTGGTTCAAGTCAGCATTGAAATTTGTAAGGAATTTTGTAAGTGAACTCACTTGGCCCTTTTCAATTATTGCCTTGAACCATGGATGTAGAACCGAATATCATTAACTGTTATTCAAGCAGGTAACGAATCCGTACCTCATTTCATAGCTAAATGAAAATGAGTCATTATCTTTCCCACCATCAGATATTTTTTCGTTCTATTGTATCATAAGTCATTTTTCAATAATTATCGTTGTCGTACTCACTGCCATATCGTCTTCGTAATTATCACATTTGTCATCATAATCCACGTTACTATATTCGTTTTTGTTGTCACAATCTCCATCTTCATCATCAGATTTGTTAAGTATTGGTAAGGCCATCACGTCCATCAACTGTCGTATGTAAATGCGTTACGTTCACAGCATATCTACGAAAAAAAATGAAAATGGGCATGAATCATTATCGATCGTAATATCAGTCTTTTTCATAATTCACATGATCATTCATTATCATCATGTCGTTCATCATTTTGTTGTCATCATTATTGCCATCGTCATAATCAACATCGTCGTCATGCTGGCTATTATAGAAAACTTCCCATCCTCCGGCTTGTTTGCTTGTGATAAAATATGAGATTATTGCGTCTATCAGCTGCAAAGGGCAAAAGAATTTTAATTACGAAAAAAACATCAGTGAAGGCGAGCTTTATTAAATCATAAATCAGTCACATTGTCAATCATTTTATCAGATATTATCATCGTCATTTTTAATCATCATCGCGTCTGTTAGCTTATGATTTGACAGGTCAGAATTTTGCGCTTGAATCAGGTTTCAACGTGTGCAAAATAAGAAACGTACCAATAGGAAAAAAATATGCGTGAATGTTTTTCTGCTTAGATTGAATGCTGACCCTCAATACTCTAGTGGTTGCAAATAGTATTGGAACTCCACCTCCTAGATTTTTACTACCTTAATTAGTTGGTGCAACTTTGTGTTTGCAGCCTTGTTTCCGATACAACTCTGCTTACAAACTTCCTTTAGAAGTTGAGAAGATAGCAGATGAGAAGAGTATTATCTTTCAGTCCTTTGAAGCTTGCTGCACAGTGCGAATCACACGACTATAGGCATGAGTTCGAAGTTCCCTCAGTTTAAAATTTTCGTACACAGTGTACTGCTTCATTTCTGTTAATTGCTTTGTAATTTCTTTCTTGGTAGGATTCCGATCATCGCGTATTCAGTACAAACAAGACGCATTGCTTTCGGTTCGAAAAATGGCTCCGTCGTAATATACGAGTTGAGAGCCGGAAAATCTCAGGTACTTCCTTCGATATCCATTTCGTTTCTTGCATCAACACCGTTTCATTATTTTATTTTATTATGCATGAATTTTTTTCTCTTCCTACGCGACATTAATGAAATCCGTCGGTTTACCGTTGTTCGTGTAGTGTTTCCGTCAAAAGTCCCTTAATTTAATCATTATCCCAAGCAAGTTCCTCGTGCATGAATCTTCATTCACGTAGTAGCCTATGTTTCGTTTATGTAGCGTCACGGCTGTGTACAAAGTTGTGTACAAAGCTTCGAAAATGGCGATATAACATAAGGTGATTTTTGCCTTATTCACGAATTCCCTTGAACAAGAAATTTACCACACAGTACTTCAGATCAGAGTTCAAGCTACGGTTGTGGTCACTCACCATTCTTCTGTTTGAGATTGATAGATGAGTACCACGACGCTGTGGGAAGGACACAGGGGACTACACACTGTGCTTACCACGCAGCCGTAAACTTTTCCTTAAAAACAATTTACTCCTGGCTAATGATATAGAAACGGAGATCAGCATCGCAATATCAACTTCTTGAAAAGAATGGCGCCAGAATGGCCCATTCATGATAGTGAAGGAGGACCGACTATTTCTTTACGTGACTGTGACACTACGTATATTTGAAAAATATGTGAATTTCTGACGGATAAGATCCACACGTATCAAACGGCGTACCCCTGCTGCTATACCAGCTTGTTTGTGCCATAACCGTCGCATTCAGTACTCACCGCATTTCTTTATGAGGAAGTAATGATATAGCGATAGCTTTGCTTTGAATTATCATGGCTTATTAAAATTTGGTAAGGTATTTACATTTAAAAATATTGTTTCATAGGCAATCACCAAGTCAGTAACTGACCATAAACATTTGAGTCATGCAACTGACATTTTGAACCACCTTCCCTAGCCTTTAGCAACAGTTTGACATTTTTGACAACACCTGGATCTGGTTTTCATTAATTAAAGCGCTGGCTTTATCAGTCATATCGGATTGATTCATTAACCCTCATCAGAACAAAACTTTCTTCTCTTGTGCTCTGAACATAGACCGATCTTGATCAGAAACGGCATTGTCATGAATAAAATGCTTATCTGTAATTTACACATTTATGTCGTTTCGGACGGCATCTGA